GTATGAGTATTCTGTAATTCTTAAATGTGCTCATGAGGAATCTGTACCTGGACCAAGAGGCAGTAGTTCAAAAAGAACATGGGAACACTGAGTGGTTTAAAATTAAGAAAGGTGTGTGACAAGAGTGTATTCTTTCACCATACTTATTCAACCTGTATGCTGAGCAATAATCTGAGAAGCTGGGTTATATGAAGAAAAATGTGGCATCAGGATAGGAGGACGACTCATTAACAACCTATGATATGCAGATGATACAACCTTGTTTGCTGAAAGTGAAGAGGACTTAAAACATTTACTGATGAGGATCAAAGAGCACAGCCTTTGGTATTGATTACATCTCAATGTGAAGAAAACAAAAATCCTCATCACTAGACCAATAAACGACATTCTTATCAACGGAGAAAAGGTTGATTTTGTCAAAGACTTCATTCTTCTTGGATCAACTATCAACACTCATGGGAGCAGCAGCCAAGAAATCAAATGACATATTGCATTAGGCAAATCTGCTGCACAAGACCTTTTTAAAGTGTTGAAGATCAAAGATGTCAGCTTGAGGACTAAGGTGCACCTAACCGAAGCCATGGTATTTTCAATAATGTCATAAACATGTGAAAGCTGGACAGTGAATAAGGAAGACCATAGATGAATTGATGTTTTTGAGTTATGGTGTTGGAGGAGAATATTGAAAGTGCCTTGAGTTGCCAAAAGAACCAATAGATCCGTTTTAAAAGAAGTGCAGCCAGAGTGCTCTTTAGAGGCCAAGATGGCCAAACTTCATCTCTTATACTTTGGACATATTGTTAGGAGGGATCAGTCGCTGGGGAAGGATATCATGTTTGCTAAGGTGGAGGGTCAGAGAATAAGAGGAAGTCTCATAAGGAAATGGATTGGCCAAGTGGCAGCATTGATGGACTCAAATGTGGCAACAGTAGTGAGGTTGGCCCAGGATTAAGCAGTGTTTCATTCTGCTGTGCATAAGGTTGCTATGAGTCAGTACCGAGTTGATGGCACCTAACAACAACAACAGCAACAACAACGGATGAGCACTGTACTGCAAACCAAAGGTTCAGTGGTTCAAACCCACCAGCCACTCCTCAAAAACCCTATACATGGATGCTATGAGTCAGAATAGAGTCAACAGCACTTACCAACAACAATGATGCACAAAATGTTGAAGGATGTCGTGGTGGTGCTGGTTGTATGCCTTCTAATCAGTTCGGACTCATAGTGACCCTGAATGGGGTTTCCATGGCTGTGGCACTATAGGATAAGCACTAGACCACAAAGTTGGTTTGAAATGCAATGTTGTTGATTCAAACTCACCATCTGTTCCTTGGAAATCCTATATAGGATTGCAATGTGCAGGGTCAATACGAATTGGAACCTACTAAATGGTGCTTAACAACAGCAACAAATCCTTAGAGCAGCAGAACACTTAATCTTTCTCTTGTAGAGTACCTAGTGGATTTGAACTGCTGACCTTGAGGTTAAATAGCCCAACACATTACCCATTATGCCACCAGAGTTCCTTACTGAGTAATGTAGGAAGCATTAAAAGAAGATGGTAAGACAAAATAAGATGAAAAAGTTATTGTATGAAAAAGAATTGGCCTATATGCATCTATTTCAGGAGGTAGCATATGATAAAGAACTGATGTTATTGAAGGAAGAGTCAAACTTCACTGGAGGTATTTACAAAAAACAAGACTCCAGTATTTAATGAATACCACTTAAGATGTTTCTATAAATGAATGCAGAGCTGGAAGCTGTCACTTATCTATGCCAAGAAATGTGGAAGGCAACCTGACCACTCCACTAGAAGACATCCGTATTTATGCTCATTTCAAAGAAATGAATATAATAATAATGGAACAATATTATTAGTATCATACGCAAGTACATTTTTTTGAAGATAATTTAAAAATTATTTTAGGGACCTTCAAGAAATTCAATCTAGATTTAGAAGAAGTGGGTTGAGGAAGATTCTTGCTGATGCCAGATGGATCCTGGATGAAAACAAAGAATACCTGTGTTTTATTGACATTCAAATCAATTATGGATAACTAATTATGGATAAATTGCAAATATTGTACATTACAGACTAACTATACTCATGTGGAACCTGTACATACACCAAGATGCAGTCTTTTGAACAGAACCAGGGGAAACTGAATGGTTTCAAATCAGGAAATGCATGTGTCAAAGTTGTATTTTTTTCTCACATTTATTCAATGTGTATGCTGAGCATATAATTCAAGCATCTGGACTATATGAAGAAGAATATGGTGGCATCAGAATTGGACAAAGACTTATCAACAACCTGTGATTTGCAATTCACACAACCTTGATTGCTGGAGGTGAAGAAGGCTTATGAAGAAGATATAAAACTGATGAAGCACTTACTGATGAAGATCAACTTTCGGTATTTATTACTCTAATATAAAGAAAACAAGATCCGTTAATTGAATCAATAAGCAACATTGTGATAAAAAGAGAAAAGATTGAATTTGTCACAGATTTCATTTTACTTGGATCCACAATAAACATCCATGAAGAAATTGGCAAATCTTCTTTAAAGTGCTAAAAAGCAAAGATGTCACTTTGAGGACTAATGTCCTCCTGACCTAAGCCACAGTATTTTCAATCACTTTATGTGCATGGAAATGCTGAACCACGGGTAAGAAAGACTATGGAAGAGTCTTTGAATTGTGGTGTTGGCAATGACTGTGAGAATGGCACAGGATGGGGGACAGCATGTCATTATCTTGTACATAGGACAGCTATGCATTGGAACTGACTCAAGGGCACCTAAATATAACAACATATAATGAAACCCTATATAGGGTTTCCAAGACTATAAATCTCTAAGGGAGCAGAAAACCTCATATTTCTCCCATAGAACAAGTGATAGGCTTGAACCACCAACCTTGAGATTAACAATCCAATGCATAAAGTGCTGTGTTACCATGACTCTTTGAAGTGTATAGACAACGTGTCTTAGCTACCTTGTGCTGCTATAACAGAAATACCACACATGGATGGCTTTAACAAATGGAAATCTATCCTCTTACAGTTTTGGAAGCTAGAGAATTAAATTCAGGGCACTTTC